AGGACATGCCCACCCACCATCATGGCTTCTCAGATATTCTGAGGGGCACTCAGTAAAAATGGCTGTGTCTCTATGCCTGACTCGGTAAGTGCAGTTTTCTCTGTGCAACCTGGATCAGCTTCTATGTCAGAGCTTTCCTCCTGAATGTTCCCGAAGAACATATCATACAACAGTGTGATTTCCTGATTAACAATCATCTGCCGACTGTACTCTAAGAATGAGAACTCCGTGGTACAATGCTTGCCTAGCCTGTGCAAGGCTCTGGGTTCAGCCCAGCCCAAACACACCAAGAGAAAAAAAAAAAATACAAATGAGAACTCCAAAAGCTCACCTGGAATGTTTCAATATTGTATTCACATAGGTATACCATTGATACATTTTTTAAATAAAATAAAGCTTTAAACCACTTTGAATATTATATACTCTGAGGAGGGATCAAGAGTATTGTCAGACATGAAATCTATTCAGTTCAGAATACCATTAAAGTAATGAACTTTTAATTGAACTACTAAAACTTGAGAAGAGGCCTATTGTATAAGGAGTTACTTATCCTGTAATTGCCCAACTCTCCCCCAACTTAATACTGTTTGAATCAGGATATTTTATGGTCTCATAACAAAAGCACAAGACACCTTTTCTGTCTGAATATTTCTGAGAACTGAGGATGAACTCCTTCTTCCTTCACTGCAGAGAAACCTGGATTCCAAGAGTGTTCTTACCAAGGCAAAATTTCCATATCTACAATATTCAGAGAATTATTGGCTATAAAAGAGTCTTTAAATTTGATTTACAATTTTATTCTTAAAAACTGGACCATATAACCTCATGATTATGCATGTAATCAGCATGTATGGGTGTGCATGTGTGTTTTTGGTAAACGTGCTATACTTTATGTGGGGTAAAATGTTGCCATACTGGTTAATTCTGTCATGACAAACATTTGGCCACATATGATTTCATGCCTTAAAAAATATATCTGCGTTTTGGGTGGGAACCAGGATGCCTCAGGTCTCATGCCAGATTTTAATGTAATATTAATTCCTTTAAAAGAAGGGTTTTTATAAAAAAAACCAACATTTTTCTAATGTACATTAAGGATGTTGGAGAGTTCACTGAAGCATATGCTCTGAGCTTTCAGGAGCAATCTGTAGTCAGGCATTTTAAATGAAAATTGATTTGTGATTTACATGGTCAGTGGAAAGAAAATTAACTTATGGAAGGTTGTAATGAAATATTAGACAAGTAAAAAAGTAGATGGTGATCTAGTGGAACTAAAAGTCCCATCTGGAAGAATTCTGTGACATTTTTACATTTATCTGTGTTCTGCATGAGTTGTAATGTTAGTGGTAATTTTATGGGACTGAACTGAAATGAAAAGGGTGTTATCACAGATTGCCTACAATATAGGATTGTGTTCAGTGGAGAGGCCTGTATCCTTTTCTCCATTTTCCTATAATATGACTCATTGCACTTTTTTCAGCTACTGTTGTTGAATGCATTCAGCCTTTTACTTGAGGTTATTAAAGAAGAACATCAAACGCTCACAAATACAATCTACCCGCACATTTAAAAGCAACGCTGCAGCTTCTCCTTAGTTCTGCATTGTTTAGGCGATGTCCAGGAAAGAGGCTTCAAAATGTATATGAAAGAAGCCAAGTGCATTGAGTGTAAAGTTTTTATTTTAAACCACTTTTTTTTTTTTGGTCTCAAAAGTGTGATTATTATCTCATCAAAACCTTGAACATGTTAGTAAAATAGTAAATTTTTATCTTCCCAGAAATGGGTCATCCAAAAGTCCATTTTTCTCCTTTTATTATTCTAGTTTTGTGAAAGCAATCACAATTGTTCCTGTGACCAGAGAAGTTTGTTCTAGAAAAGAAAGTTTAAGACTCTTTCTTTTCCATTTGATTAAAAAAGAAGAAGAAGAAAAGTAAAAGAAATGTCTTATTTCAGTAATAATGAGCTAATGTGATTTTTGAAAGAGGGAAAGAATAATGTGCTTAATTCCATATGCTGTTCTTCCTTCCTTTACATTTACTATACTTGACAGATGGCCATGACTTTTTGAAGTCTATAATTTCTAAATTACTGTACCTTAAATATTTGATACAGTTTAAATACTTTGACCCTGTGCTAAAGCATAAGCCATGAAATTATTTGCCTTAGAATTTTAAAATCCATTTCCTGTCTCTTTTCTCTCCTTTCATCTCTTTCCTCCATGAACCACAGCTGAATATAGGCAGAATTTCTAAAAATTTCTAAAGATAAAGGTCTTTGCCTAAATTGATACTTGTAACTATATTTAAATAAAACTATTCAAGGTAAGAAATCCTTACCTTTAGGATCAGTAGTCTGAATAGTTCTCTTTTATTTTCAGTTATTTTAATCAAGTGTTTTTCATTTGTGAAAATTTCTCATTTTTTTTCTCAGTATTTTCTCTAATAGAAAACTTTCTGGTTATCTTATTAGGTTAAAATAATGTGTCCTATTTAGATCAACCAGAACAGCAGCTTTCTATCTCTGTAACTGTAGAGGTGCTTCTCAGCTGAAGTTGCCCATTAACATCACCTGGGAACTTTGGAAAAAATATCAGTTCCTATATGCTGCTTCTGGTGGATTGATACCACTGGTTAGTTCTGACTTAATGGGTCCATGGTGCTGTCTGACATTGATACCTTTTTAAAACTTCCAGTTGGAGGCTAATGTATAGCCAGAATTGAGACTATGGCTCTCAGAACAGGCTGTGGGAAACCTCTGTGAAACTACCCTATTTTAGGTATGGGAGTAGGGGAGAGTTGGGGAGATAGGGCTGAATTCCCCCCTTCCTTACCTATCTCATTTTCCTGTGTGCCATTTTTATGTTCTGAGATTAATAATTTGATCCATAATACTTGGATTTTTCTTTTTGACCTCACTATGCATAAACATAATCAGACATAAGACATATAAGACAGTTCTGCATTACATATTTAATTATGCTTTGAAATTACAAACTTAAAATATACAAAGTAACCATTGTTTTTTGTTTGGTGGCAAATTGAGATTTCTCTTCCAACTTGAATTCTTTCGAAAAAATTAAGAATTGCTTCTGAAATCTGGCTAGAAGTATCTGGTTTTATAGGTAGGAGATGGCCAATTGCTTCCAGCTTTTTTCTTGGTATTTAGTTATTTTGTACAAATGGAAAGAAAGTAGCCATCTCACCAAAATGTCCTCTAACCTCAGAACCCAAGACCATCCGCTATGGGTGCTGACGTAGCATTTAAGCAACCGTTTGACATCCATCCCTTCTGTCATTTCTGCCATGCATTCAGTTCATGACATTTCTAGGTAAAAGGTCACGGATCTGTCACCGGCAGTGTTTGTGGCACTCAGAAAATAAAATGGGGTGGTTAATGATAGCTGGGGCAGCCTGTGTAATCACAGGATGCCGCCGAGGTCAATACTCGGTATTGGCTTTCCGTCCCGTCCATCTGAAACAATATACTGGAGTAAATATAATCAGTAAGTGGTCACAAATGAATCTTTTAGAGACATCAGTATTACAGAAACAAGAGATTCAAGAAAGAGATGCTAAGTGGAATCTTTTGGGTTGTAATTGTAGCCCTGGGAATAATTACTTTAATTAATAGCTGTGAAGCCTTGGACCCTTGCTCCCAGGCTCATGGATGAGTTTGCAGTTGCTGTTCTAGAAATGTGTTTTGGGCTCTGCAGAAAGTGTCGAGGGGTAAAGAGGCTCTGGGGACCAGGGTCAGTGCTGAGAGCCTCCTGATCCCATCTTTTCCTAACCACAAGTGAATCCCTAGTGGTCAGGTCACCATTTTTGTAGACCACAAAGCAGTGAGTGGTGTTTGGAGGAGAGGATGTGGAGATCCATTTCAGCACCAGGTTCCTGTTTAGAAAAGAGAGGCTTTAGTCTATGCTGCTTCTGGTGGATTGATACCTTTGGTTAGAAGACAGAAACCCTTCTGACATTTGCCTATGAATATATAAGAACTCAAGAAAGAAAATAATAGGATAGCTGTTGTTTGTGTCCTCCAGACCTACTTCTTCGGAGGACAGTCTTGAAGAGCTGCTGATAAAACTTGCTCCAAGGGTCTGTCTCAGGCAAAACTGTGAACAAGTTTATTTCAGAGCCCTCACTCTTCCTTTGCCTTCTCCTGTGAAGATGGCACTCTCTTCCCTCCTCCTCTGATATCAACTATTCAGGTCACTGTGTCTCCTCTTCCTCGTTCAAATCTCATTTCGGGAAAGGTTCCAATGTGCTTGCTCCTTCTGAGGAATCATTTCTCAATAATCCTTCCAAAAACATAGGAAAGCAAAGACTCACATCAGGCATCAGTTAACTTGGCTTGGGAAATATTTTTGGAAGGGAGAAAAGCCTTCTCCACCTCTTATCCTCATCCTTTGGCCTGACTGACTACACTAATAAGATATTAATTACCAAGGCCCCCATGTCATCATTGATTCATTGATTGATTTTCTCACTGTGTAAGCTGATGATGCATGAAAAATAAATGTGGATCAAAGTTTTCTTAGCAACAATCTGAACATTATCTACATAAGAGAAGTTATTTACATGGAAAATGTATGTGTTAAAGAACCAGGCAGGCATTTTATAATAGCAATAAGTATCTCTGTACTTACCTTGCAATCTTTGCCCTGAACAAGGCATGCAATTCTGGGCATCATAGAGGAAGGACTCATACTAACTGATATATGTTGAGGTTTTTAATGCCAATGGACTGACTCAAATCCACTTCATGTTTTTTGAGCACACCCTAAAGGCCAAACACTCACAGAATATTTCTTGTGTAGTTCTCACAAGCACTCAGATATGGACATTTTTGTCCTCACTCTTCACAGTAGTTAACCAAGGCACAAGTGTGATGAAGAATTTTCCCCAAATAATACAACTGGGAAGCCTCAGAGTCCACATTTGAACTTGAGCTGTAGCACCCTGACCCATCCACTGCTTCAGAAACTTGGGGGTTGTGCTTACCTGCCATTGATTGGGAAGATTTAAAATGGCTCCCATAGCTCTTTAAAAAGCTCAAGGTAGCATGGCTTAATTACATAATTGTAGTACACAGATAGTAATAGGTGCTCAGTAAAACTTGATGAACTGATTAATAGGAACAACCTCAAACCTCTGACGATGTCATTTCTTGTTGAGCAACAAAAGACTTTGCAGATAAATCTAGAAAGGGGGAAATCATAAAGGATTCCATAGAAACATAAATAAGCAAAAGAATGTCAGTAAGCCAGCCACTCAGGAGGCTGAAGCAGGAGGATCATGAGTTCAAACACAGCCTCAGCAACTTAGCAAGGCCCTAAGCAACTCAGCAAGACACTGTCTTTAATAAAATATAAAAAAAA